GGGACAATTAATTAGGGTGACAATTTCGACTTTTCGGAGGTAATTCTAGTTGATGCCCTCTTCATCATTCAGCTCTTTATGATGGATTCTGAAAACCATGAAAATGATTATCACATCTTAAGATCACGGTGGCTGAGGAAAGCTGTAGAGCAGGACCTCGTACTGTTAGAAAATCAGCTTCCTTATTTTCTTCTTCAAGACCTGTACAACTTTGCCATGCCGGTCTCTTGTTTCTATCCCCGCAACGAAATGCAAGCACAAGAACAGGACAATAGACTGTTGATTTCTGGTAAATTAAAAACGTTTATGCAGAAGAGAGAAGAAAAACCAGAGAGAATGAGAAAAGTTCTGTATTTTTCTATATGCAGGTCTGAGCAGAAACCTGCCTCATATACATTCCTTTAGATGCCAAAATCAGGATCCTATATTTTAGGATACAAGAACTCATCTCCTACCATCCATAATGATTGGAGGCTACGATTCTTACACCTAGGCTAGAGTCTGTTAACATAGTACAGCTAAGAAACAGACAAAAAACCAGCTGTAGAAAATATCCCAAAATAGCTAGAGTAGCTAACGGCTACTTCCCAAAAAGGAAAGTTCTTCAATTCTTCATTCTTCTCAGGTACAACCTGCAGGATTGTCATCTGCAGTTTCTTATTAAGCTCAGTGAGTAGCTTAATTCTCAACAGCCTCTCCTAAGCTGCTTACTGGCTTAACTCCAAGTTTCAACCTTAGTTGATTAAATCTGTCTTTAGGCAGTGCCTTTGTAAAAATATCTGCAAGTTGTTCTTCACTTCTGCAGAATTTCATGTCAATCACTTCCTCTTGTAGAGCCTCCCTTATGAAATGATACCTCCTGTTTATGTGTCTTGTCCTTTGATGAAAAACTGGATTCTTGGCCATAGAAATTGCTGACATATTGTCACAGAAAAGAGGTGTTGCCTCAGTTTGCATTTCACCAAAATCATCAAGGACAAACCTTAACCAAATAGCCTGTGCAGTTGCCTCAGATGCTGAGACATACTCAGCTTCAGCTGTTGATAGTGCCACTGTATTTTGTTTCACAGAGGCCCAAGAGAATGCTCCACTTCCAAAGCTGAATGCATAGCCAGAAGTGCTCCTGCTATCATCCTCACTACCTGCCCAATCTGCATCACAGAATCCAATGAGAATTGCAGACTTATCCTTCACATACTCAATGCCATAGTTGAGAGTTCCTTGCACATATCTTAGGACCCTTCTTGCAACTCCCATATGCTTCTTTGTAGGACTAGTCATAAACCTTGACAGCAAACTGGCAGCATACATCAAATCTGGTCTAGTTGCTGTTAAGTATAGTAGACTTCCTACTATCTTTCTATAGAGTCCTTCATCAGCTAAGTCACTTCCATCCACTTTCTTGAGTCTCTCACCAGTAGGCAATGGAATGGATACTGGTTTGCAATCTTCAAGCCCAAACTTCACAAGCAAGGATTTGGCATACTTGCTTTGATGAATGAAAACCCCTTGATCAGTTTGTAGTATTCCCATGCCCAAGAAGTGATGAAGGAGTCCAAGGTCTGACATTTCATATCTCTGCATCATCTCCCTTTTAAACTCAGCAAGCATCCTCTCACTGTTTCCAGTATAAACAATGTCATCAACATAGATTGAGACAATGATTAAACCTCCTTCATTATCAGATCTAGTGTACAGAGTAGCTTCACTAATGCTTCTTTTGAACTTGCACATAGATAAATATGCATCAATCTCACTGTACCAGGCTCTAGGAGCCTGCTTAAGTCCATACAAGGCTTTTTTCATCTTGTAAACCTTGTGACTTGCATTTTTCAGTTCAAAACCCTCAGGCTGCTCTACATATACTTCCTCATCAAGCACACCATTTAGGAATGCTGACTTGACATCTAACTGAAACAACTTCCACCCCTTTTGTGCTGCAAGAGCAATGAGAGTTCGAATTGTGTCTAACCTTGCAACTGGTGCAAAGGTTTCATTGTAGTCAATTCCAGGTTTCTGTGCATACCCTTTTGCTACAAGTCTGGCCTTATGTTTTTGAACTGTTCCATCCAAATTAAGCTTGGTTTTAAACACCCACTTCACACCTATAACAGGTTTATCTGCTGGTCTCTCAACCAATTCCCAGGTATTGTTCTTCTCTATCATTTCCAACTCAGCATTCATAGCTTCTTGCCAAGCTAAATCACCAGCTGCTTCTTGATAGTTCTCTGGTTCAATGATGCACATGTGGCATCTTGCATATATGTCCTCCAGAGTTCTCAACTTCACTGGAGTAGAGCTAGGTGTAGAAGCTTGACTGTTATTTCCTACTGAAACACCAACAGTTGAGTTTGAGTGAGAGCTGCCACCATTATCAAACTGAGTTGTTTCAGTTTGTTCTTCACCAAATTCAGTTTCTATTTCATTTCCTCCAAGGTTGAATGGTATTGGAACAGATTCCTCTTGATCACTCTTCCAATTCCATGCCTTGTCCTCATTGAAAATTACACTCCTTGAGAGCACAATTTTTTTAGATTGCAAGTCATACACTCTGTAACCCTTTTCACAGCTTCCATATCCCATAAAAACTCCCTTTCTAGCCTTGTCATCAAACTTCTGCCTCAAGGGTGATGGAACATGAGTATAACAGATACAACCAAACACTTTCAGATGCTTGATTCCTGGCTTTCTTCCTGTGAATGCTTCAAATGGTGTTTTACTTAGCACAGATGTTGTAAAACATCTGTTTTGGAGATACACAGCTGTACTTACAGCTTCTGCCCAAAAAATCACAGGGATTCCTTTCTCTGTCATCATGGATCTTGCCATCTCACATATTGTTCTATTTCTCCTCTCAGCAACTCCATTTTGCTGAGGAGAGTAGGCAATGGTCAATTGCCTCTCCATTCCCATGCTTGTACAGAATTCTTGAAACTCATGTGAGGTATATTCACCACCTCTATCACTCCTTAGTTTTTTCAAACTAAATCCACTTTGCAATTCAACGAAGGCTTTGAATTTCTTGAATACATTAAAGGTATCCGATTTGTTTCTGAGAAAGTACACCCAGCACATTCTTGAAAAATCATCAATGAATGTGATGAAGTACCTATTTCCACCAATTGACTCATTTTGCATTGGTCCACACAAATCTGTGTGCACTAATTCCAGTGGACAGCTTGCTCTCCATGCTCCCTCTTTATCAAACTTTTCTATGTGATGTTTTCCTGAAACACAACCTTCACACACGTCCTTCATTTCGGTTAGCATAGGTAGTCCAGCCACCATTTCCATCTGCTGCATTTTTTTCATGCTAACAAAATTCAAATGTCCAAGTCTTCTATGCCAGATCCAAGAATCTTCAATCACTGATGCTTTTCTAGCTGCAGGTGTCATAGATTCTAGTGAGAGAGGGAAGCATCTATTTCCTCCCATGACCACTTTAGCTACAACATTGTTGAGGCTGTCATCATCAAAAATAACTGTCATGTTACCCCCAAATAGGACATAATAACCATGCTCCATCATTTGGCCTACACTCAATAGATTCTCATCCAAGCCCGGAACAAGCAACACTTCATGTATATACCTTTTCCCATGTTGAGTTTCAACTACTAGAGTGCCTTTTCCAGTTGCTTGTACAAGATCTCCAGTGCCCATTTTAACTTTGCAAGTCACAGTCCTGTCAATGTTTATTAACACAGACTCTTGAGAAGTCATGTGGTTGCTGCAGGCGCTGTCCACAAACCATACACTTCCATTTTTCACACTTGCAGAGTGGCAAGCATAGAACATGGTGCCTGTGATTACCTCTTCCTCCTTTGCACAGTTAGCCACCTGCTTGTTGCCTTCACAGTCTTTTGCAGTATGACCAAACCTATTACATTTTCCACATCTAGGTTTGCCTTTGTGCCTGCACACACCAAAATGATACTTTTGACAGACTTGGCATTGTGGTTTCACACTTCCTTGACTGCTGCTACCTTGCTTGTTCTGAGAATTAAAACTATTGTTCCAATTTCCTCCAGCATTGTTATTCCAGCTTGAGCCATTGTTATTTTGAGACCAATTTGATCCCTTTTTGTCTTGTCCCTGCCACTTTTGATTTGGTCTACTCTGTGAGCCCTTATTAGAGCCATGAACTTGGTTATTTCCAACCTTGAGGCTACTAAAAGCTTTCTCAGTTCCAGCCACTTTATCTCTTTCATCATGCAGGTCTTCCCTTTTATCATAAACTTTGACAGATGCAATAACTTCTTCAACTCTAAGAACATCAAGATCTCGAGTTTCTTCAATGATAGACACAATGGATTTATATTTTCTACTTAGACTCATCAAAAGTTTTTGCACAATTCTTGTTTCAGTCACATCTTCACCAAGAGATTTCAGATTATTCACAGTTCCAAAAAATCTAGCCAAATAGCTATCTAAGCTTTCACCATCAGTCATTCTCATATACTCAAAATCTGCTCTAACAGCTTGAAGTTTTACAGCTCTTATCTTTTTATCTCCTCTGAACTCTCTCCTCAAGATATCCCAAGCTCCTTTTGCAGTCTTTTCATTTCTGATGCGAGGGAAGAGCTCATCAGTTAAGGTTCCTTGAATGAGACTCAGTGCCTTGGCATTTTTGATTCTGTCTTCTCTGGAGATAGTAGGTGCTTCTGCTGGAATTTGCTCAGCTTCACTTCCTTCTCCTCCAGAGTCTTCTTCCTCCTCAATAACTGGCTGAGGTTGAACTCCGACCTCAACTACGTCCCATAGATCATGTGCTATGAGGATGGTCTCCATTTTGACAACCCAAAAATCATAGTTTGCACCATCAAACTGTGGAGTTCGTAGATCTCCACCTGAAGAACCTGATCCCACCATTTTCCTAGTGAGTCTTAGTGAACCAAAACAATAAAAGAGCAACCTTTATCCCTTTTGGGAATTTTTTCAGGAAAGCTCTCTCTCTCACAGCTCACGCCCCTCTCTGGATTCAGACCAGGAGCTCTGATACCATGTTGGTTTTCTGGTAAATTAAAAACATTTATGCAGAAGAGAGAAGAAAAACCAGAGAGAATGAGAAAAAGTTCTGTATTTTTCTATATACAGGTCAGAGCAGAAACCTGCCTCATATACATTCCTTAAGATGCCAAAATCAGGATCCTATATTTTAGGATACAAGAACTCATCTCCTACCATCCATAATGATTGGAGGCTACGATTCTTACACCTAGGCTAGAGTCTGTTAACATAG